AGATGTGTTCTGGTGTCATAAACTACAAACTACGTTCTCACTTTCCATAGCTAGAGATCTAAGGAAACTGCAGGACGTTCGGATAACTCACTGTGGCATGATGAAAGCAATTGTTTCAAGTGAAAAATGATTTATATTTACGAAAATTATAAAAATTATATAATTAATTATTATAAATTATTATTATATATAAAAATTATATTATTTCAATGCTTGAGTGTTGTGGGTGTGGCCATTGGTGTGTGTGTCATTGTGTGGGTTGGCTTTGGTTGGTAGTAGAAACGCCAAAAAAACAAAAATAAAAAAAAAAAAAAAAAAAAAATCACTATTCCGGTCAACCGGCCAGACGACCGGTCTGGTGTCCGGTTAAGCCAAATTTTGAAAAAAAAATTGAAAAACGCGCTCTGTTTGACAGAGCTTTCAGCAGAGCTATGGAAAATTAATTCCACAGCTCTATCCAAATATCATACTCGAACCATCACGCAGAAAACTAATTTGACAACATAAACAAATAGAGCCTTAATTTTTTGTAATGTCGAGAGTAGTTGGCTTTCAAATGATCATAGTCTGTAGAAGAAAAAATAAAGAATGGTTAGCCTGACTGAAGAGAATTGCTTCAGAAGTATAAAATCAGGCAAAAATAGGTTACTTGCTGTTCCTTTGTTGCAATTTATGTACTAACCAGACAAGTTGGCCTCTAAGTCCTCGTAATTGCTTGAGCCCCAAAGGAAGTCATCATTGTGTAAGCCTTTGTCTGAACATGCTTTTACTAGCTGTTCTCGATTCCTCCTTATTTTTAAATAAAAGCAATAGCCATCACCAGTTTGGCCCAAGGAATATTGGCGTAATATCTCGGCTAGCCTAATATTTAAGTCTAATCTACAATTTAGCTCGGCTACTCCATTGACTATTCTATAAGTGTTTGTAGAGACTTGTGTGGGGTAAAGTCTTATTTGTCATAGGAATTCACACATTAAGGTCATGTTTGTTTGGGTGGACATGAGCTTGGGATTGGACTAATAGTTCAATAAAATTATTAATCTAATGTTTGGTTAAACAATTGAAGTACGGACTAATTATTTTAAACTTGACTATTAGTTAAGATAGGATAAATAATCCAACATATTCGTAGTCCTAGGACTATTAGTCATGGGAATGCTAATCCAGTCCGCCCAAACAAACATGGCCTAAGGGTTAGACTGGGAAGCGGTGTCCTTCCTTAACAATGGAGAGCACGGTGGAGGGGCAAAATCCTTCCCAACCCCATGGAAGGGTGTGTTCCTTAACGACCTTAAGATTAACGTCATCTGGAATGTTGTAGTCAGCTCGGAACTTGATTATGACACCTGGAGAGCTTACCGTGAAACGATAACGACCCATAGAGCTTAGCTTAATTTGGGAAATAACTTAGCAAAGGCCTAGTGCGCTTCTTTTTGCTCGGCTGTGCTATGCGGCCTAGGTTTGTGTGACGTCTGCTCAGTCTCTGAGAGCTGCTCAACGACACTTGTGGTGTGCCTGGTCAAACCTAGTTCAGAGTCTGCACAATCAAAAAATTAAAATGGGTTATGTTCATGCCTTGACTGGTCAAGTGAGTTTGGGTGATTAAGTTTGCTGGTGTGCCTGGTCAAACCTATTTACGTTGGCGGGCCAATTTATGTTCGGCTAAGTCAGAGTTATATCTCAGCTCGATTGAATTAGAGACCTTATTTTTAGCTCCGTCAAACCTTGGTGCAAAAATCAGAATTTTGTCCAGTTTTTGAGCATGTTACATTAATGGAGTTTTGCTCGGTCTTAGCTCGGCTGTGGAGGTTCAACAGTGGGTTTGAGCTCAGCTAGTGCAACAGATCAAGAACCCTATTTTTGCCCAGTTTGTGTCAAAGTTGAGATCAAAATTGGGGGTTTTGCCTGGTTTCAGCTAGATTTCTTGTTGTTCAACCCAAAATTTGAGTTCTTTGGGAGAAATGGCATATTAGGTAGATTTCTAGTCTTGATTAGGGTTTAAACACTTACTATGTTGATTGATGTTTACAAATCAGCGCTTAAAGCAAGTGTTTAGCAAGACTTAGGAGTTTACAGTTCAAGAACACGAAGAACACGAAGAACATGGACATGGAAAATAAGAACACAGATTAAAACTCACTTTTTACTGCTTCAAATGGACTTCCAATTAGACCAAAGTGTTCTTGAGGCAACGACGGTCCAAGTGATGCAAGAAAGCTACAGAAAAATGGCCAAGGAAATCTAGAAATGGTTTTTCTCTGGGTTTTACTCTGGAGAGGAAGATGAATAGTGAAAAAGATGAAAGGAACAAGAAGCATATATATATGGATTTGAAATTTCAATAGGGAGACGCGCCATCACTTCACATTTGAAAGTTATGTCGTCCAGCCGTCATTAGAGAACAAAACCTAAGAATGTGTGCCACGTGTCCCTGAAGGTGACGTGTGTTAGAGCATTGTGTGATAGAGGAGTAAGGATTCTCTAGAGTTTTTTTTCCCTAAAGTTGTGTGTTGTATGGTTGAGATTTAATGACAAGTCACATCAATTTTTTAGCATTAAATCTCACCCATACAACACACCACTTTAGGAAACTTTAGGAAAAAAAAACTCTAGAGAATCCTTAGTGGTGATAGAGCATCTCAGAAGTCGAAGTGAAAGGCAGACCGGGCAAAATCGGAGTGGAGTGCAGTGCAGAACATGCGTCGTCGAGCGGAGTTACTTGGTGGAAGGATGGGAAATGATAGAGAGCTCTAAATATAGAGTTCTAATTTGAGCTCTAATGATGTGTCAAAACAAAAATAAAAAATAAAAAAAAAATAACAAGACACAAACATCACATTAGGGTGGGACCCACCTTCCCATTAGAGCTATTAGAACTCTTATATTAGAGCTCTAAAGCATTTTTGGTGGAAGAATAGTTAGCTGAGCAAACGCGAATGAGAGCCTTGCGTATCCAAACTGGAGTTTAGCTCGATGAAAAGTAATTACAGTTATGCTTAGATGGTAATTTCTACCGAACCAATGGGCCAATCTGATGTCAATATGGGACTTCAGGATTAGGCTGGACAAACAGCGTGTCATGGGCTTTGACTGGCCTAGTTAACTTGTTGACTGGGCAGAATTGGCCTTAAGGCGCTAGCCAGACAGAAGGATCCAATTGTATGGAACATGGACTTGGGCAGGACTAACATGAAGCTTGACCAGTAAGGTTGTCCTAACCTTAATGTGAATCGGACAAACTTACAACGGTTCGACTGTCCGGTTTTTGCTCAATTGGTTAACTGAGGATGATCAATGTAGTTACGCAAATAGTGTGCAACTGGGGAAATGGATTGCTTGGTTAACTGAGGATGATCAATGTAGTTACGCAAATAGTGTCCCACTCACTCTGTTTCGTTTTAATTTTCAGCATTTATTTTTTTAAAAAATTTTACTTTTTTGTTTTTCATATTTTTTTTTTATTTTCACTAAAATTTTTAAATATTTTAAACAATTTTTTAAATTTTTTTTAAACACACTTAATATAAATATACTTAAAAAGTATAATATTTGTGAAAAAAATCTTTAAAAAATTCACTAAATATTAAAAATACAAAAAATATATATGTAAAAATTCAATACATTTTTTTGTATTTTTGTATATTTATTAATTTTTTAAAATATTTTTTTACTAGTATTTTACTATTTAGATACATTTAAGTAAGATGCATCTAAAAAAAATATAAAAATCACTTAAAATTTTAAAAATATTCACTAAAAACAAAAAAATACGAAAAATAAAAAACTCAATTTCCAAAAAACTAAATTCAGAAAAATTGAAACCAAACATACTGATTAATATTCTACCATGCGAAACATATAAAAGCTCATAAGTAACCTTGATCAAGGTAATGCAACTTTGACTCTTGAATTTGTTTTCCCCATAATGATCTTGAGTACTAATTTAGGCATCGGGGGGTTTTCTGACACACACCTGTCAGTAAGCTTGTGAATGTAGGTCTTATGACACCGTTTGAGGAGTTCAAGCTTGATCACAAGGAGTACGTGTGTAACGAATATTTTGTGTTTGCACAAAATGACTTTTAACAAAAGCGTATTTTGTTAAGACTCATTGTAATATTGAAAACATTTCCCATCTAGTATTATTTTTCTACAAATTCTCACAGAATCCTCACCTTTTAGAACTCATTGCCACTACCATTTGGAATATGTGGAAAACATGTAACAAGGTCATTTTAATAATCATGCTTTCCAGTCTGCTAAATTCAAGCATACCTCTCGCTTTTACCTAACACAAAATGCCTTTTACAAAACAATTAAACCAAATTCTTCCACTACCCACATTTAAACTCATTACATTCAATGGAAACTTCCACCTGTTAATTTTGTAAAACTTAATATTGATGGCTCGTCTTGAGGTAACCCAAGCTTGCCTGGGATAAGAGGAGTATTTCGTGACTATCAAGCCAAATTTTTGGAAGCTTTTGTTTGCCCTATGGGTTACACTTCTAATAATATGATTGAATTATGGGCTCTTCGCATTGGACTCAAAAAACACTGATTGCAAACTACAAAAATATAATTGTTGAATCTAATTCTATTTGAACCCTACATACTTTACATAGGCTATAGACAAAGACCTGCGCTGATCAAGGTCTTCTACGGGACTACCTACAGCTTCTGCATGAATTCAACAACGTTCCATTTTGCTTTACTTATCGAGAGGGCAATCAAGTGGCTAATGTTTTTGCTACTTTTGCAGCCACCCTTTTGCGAGAAGAATTGGTACACCATTCCCTTTAAATTTTAACGCTTTTTTGAAGAGGAATTGGTGTAGCCCTTCTAACGTTCATTTTATTTCTAATGTATTGAGCTTATCTTTTTAATTTAATGCACTCGTTTTTGTGGCAAAAGAAGAAAACAAAGTGCATTTTCAATACTGAAGTCTCGTGTGTGTGTGTGGAGAGAGAGAGAGAGAACCAGCGCAACAGTAACAAGAATGATTCAAGTGTGTCACATTTATTAACAAAGCCATCGAAGGGGCCTCTGAATCTGTTTCCATTACCAAAACTTATTACTATTGACATCTTCATGAACTAAAACAAAAACGAAAAAATTTAGTGACTAGACGTCAGAGTCTGCTACGTACAATAGCTACACAAAGAGGATCGTGTTGCAATAACAAGCTATGTCCTACAACATCTCAAGTGCAGGAAATCTCAGGAAAATTCCCACATTCATGGAAAGTACCTTCAAACAAGGTTACCAATTTATTTCAGACCAAAGCCTCTCAACTGTTCTAAAAAACCAAGGAAAGCCTACATTCAGGAACCCGTTAGGTTAGCAGGCTTTTAGATTATAACAGAGCATAATAGATGATGTTTGGTTGGCGAACAATGAAGATATAGATTATAGTAGTCGTCTTCTGAAGTTTCGGGTGGTTCCTTGGTAGGTTCGAACCAGCAAGCCCACTCCTATCCCAATTCCAAGACAAACGCTTAGGCCAATTCCAACACCGACCCTGACACCGGCATTGAACCACGACAGTTCCCCATCTTCACCTTCCAAATATTCTGCTCCCTGGTAAAGGTTGTTGTAGTCGTCATTTTCTGGTTTATAATTTGGGTAATCTGATACCTGCACATATATGAAAAGCAGGATATTTGGTGAAAATGAAAAATGAAATTGAAGAATGGGAAATTTTCTTTAAATGAACATGAGAGTCATTGATCTTCAGTAATCCCCTAAAGAGAACCAGCTACACAACAACTTTTAGAAAAAAGCAAATCCATTCAACTTCAAATCACAATGACGATATTTGAAATTGGACCAATTGGGCATTTGTTAGGGGTCAAATAATGCCAAACAAAGTTAAAATTCCAATACACGTTTCACATATTACCATACTTCTATATATTTTTATTCATTTTTCACATATTTCACTACAGTTCCTATGCATACACCAACATTAATCATCGCCCATTGGGCAATAGTGAGCATTTTTCTTTGAAATTAAAGGCCTTTGGGCCTGAACAGAGGCACATCAACTCTCTCTCTCTCTCTCTCTCTCTCTCCCTCTCTCACACACACACACACACACACACACAGACACACACACACACACACACACACACACACACACACACACACACACACACACACACACACACACACACACACACACACACACACACACACACACACACACACACACACACACACACACACACACACACACACACACACACACACACACACACACACACACACACACACACACACACACACACACACACACACACACACACACACACACACACACACACACACACACACACACACACACACACACACACACACACACACACACACACACACACACACACACACACACACACACACACACACACACACACACACACACACACACACACACACACACACACACACACACACACACACACACACACACACACACACACACACACACACACACACACACACACACACACACACACACACACACACACACACACACACACACACACACACACACACACACACACACACACA